CTTTCTTGATTGGGATCATAATGTTTGCCCATATATCTATTATTGGCTTTAGCGTAACGTGTAGAAATCATACTGACTCCTCCTCTGATTGCACTTTCTATGAACAAATGCATGTCAATATCTTGAAATAATTGTAATTTTATACCAGTCATTCTAAGACAAGCTTCCCATGTTAGTCCTGGAAGTGAATACATATGTACGGGGTCAAGTTTGTAATCCTTTAAACACAGGTCTCTAAATGTCTCAAACACATCAGCCAGTAGCAATACATCTGTTTTAAGATATAAATCATGATATTCTTGTAAATTATGTATATTAAAATGGGTCCAGACATTTTTAGCATGTTCATATTCGATGGGAGAGATATGTTCTTTAGTTAAAGTACTGTAAAATTTTTCAATTGGAGGTAGAGACTCTGCAAACTTATCTGGTCCTGTCATATATTCATAGGGAAATACGCCTTTGCGTTGTAGTAGTGGATTGTCTATGAATCTAAATGTATTTAAATTGGAAGCTAATTTGTATAATGGAAGGGACAGAAAGTTATAGGAATCTAAAAATACTAAATCATCAACAGAGAATGAAATGTACTTTTCCATATCTTTGGCTATGCAATTTAATTTACGATTAAACTTTCCCAAGTGTTGCATTATTAAATGTCCATCGTAATTTTTCAAGTTATGGAAGAATACTGGTATTTTCTTTGTTACTTTATAGTTTAAATTGCAATCATTGTGGGCAGCTCCACGGTATCGGCCAGATGAATGACAATGTTCCCGTACCCTATCAAAATATAGAGGCTTTTCACAAATGTGACAATGTGTTGAGTTTTGGAAAGATGCCTCTTGCTCAGGAGTCATTACAAGGGGAATATATATCGCCATTTGATTTTTAATGAAGTCATAAGTCTCAAACAACCTTTTGAAAAACACGTCCATAACATTTTCGCCACTATATAACTCTTCAGAAATAATCTTAGAATCTCTCACTACGACAAATGCAAATCCAGATGGAGTATGATTGTTTGAGTTTATAAAACATTCAAAATCTGCATAAATCACAAATGGGGCTTTAAGTTGATATTTATAGTTTTTAAATTGTAATGTATCTTGTTTAGACATTTCCACTCGTTGGGCATCAAAGTTTTTACAATATGTTATATGACGCTCCAATTTATCATTGGTGTAAAAATGTTGTAAACACAGCTTACAAAAATGCTTCTTATGGTCTTGTTTCGTAGACCGTAGCATTAACCTATCAAAATCACGAATTAAACAGTAATGTGATTTACGACCTTGTAGTAATAATAATAGATCTATGTGAGCATTACTATTCAGTTTGGTTCTTCTTAATGGATATATAAATTTTTGGTCTTCAACTCCAAATACATTAACACTTATATTATTTTGTCTTTCAAATTTATCTATATCAGATATTTTAACAGGATACTTTATGTTTGTCATATTTAACTGATTTTCATAGGGTGCATATTTCGATACCCTTTCAGCATTTTTAGCATTCCTTGGATGTAAAGCTGCTAAAATTGACCAAAGGAAGCATTTATTATCAGCATTCTTTATATTTAAAACTGCTTTTGTCAATTTAATACTTTTTGGTGTGGGGATATATGACTTTGGAGTTAGGGGCTTATACTTGTAAACGTGCAACTGCCAATATTTAGTATGGTCATAAATCCATCCACTGCCTTCGGCTTGATATTTGTGTATGGAAGTATCAATCTTTAAAAGAGCATTTTCAATTTGAGGCTTTAAATCTCTCTTCTCAATGGTTAGGAAAGTAAGGCTTCTAAAATCTGCAATACATTCTTTCTCATTAACTAATTTTCCGTTTTGATCCATTGAATATTTTATAAATTTGATTCTCCTTACTAAAGTCCATTTTATCGGTAGAGGACAAGACTGAAGAGTACTTTTAAGTTCAGTTTTAATCGATTCACCGACAAATTTAATCATTGTATATGGACATTTGTTACAAGAATTTACGTGTCTTTTAAAATGACCAACAACATTTCTTTTACAGAAATTACAAGTCTTATGAGTTTGTAATATATGAGATTTTAGAGCTATGTTACTATCACAGATTAAATCACAAACTTTGCACAGTTTCACCTTCATTTTATGTATTACCTTGTAGTGGCGAATAAGGTTGCTTTTTTTGGAGAGCGATGCAAAACAATGTTGACATGTGGTCTTCATTTTTATATATGAAATTAAAAAAAAGGTTGGCATCTTCTATATAGTAGAACAATTTACAATTTAAATTAATGAGAAGTAATAATTCAAATCATAATTCTAAATTTTAATATTCAAAACAATTTTATACAATAATATTTGGCAATTAAAATTTTCTAAATCAAAACTAAATTCTAAATCTTAAATAAAAACTCTTTTTAGCAGAATGCTGAGTCTACATTTATACAGAGTTAGTGTTAGTTATATAGAGAAGACTACCTATGAAAAAATTATATAGAGATTGAGATTCGGCTAAGTTTTAAAAAAATAACTTGTACACTTTTGACTCAAAGTCCCCAGTGATTGAGATTCGGCTAAGTTTTAAAAAAATAACTTGTACACTTTTGACTCAAAGTCCCCAGGTGAGTCAAATTCGGCTAAGTTTTAAAAAAATAACTTGTACACTTTTGACTCAAAGTCCCCAGTGATTGAGATTCGGCTAAGTTTTAAAAAAATAACTTGTACACTTTTGACTCAAAGTCCCCAGTGATTGAGATTCGGCTAAGTTTTAAAAAAATAACTTGTACACTTTTGACTCAAAGTCCCCAGGTGAGTCAAATTCGGCTAAGTTTTTAAAAAATAACTTGTACACTTTTGACTCAAAGTCCCCAGTGATTGAGATTCAGCTAAGTTTTAAAAAAATAACTTGTACACTTTTGACTCAAAGTCCCCAGTGATTGAGATTCGGCTAAGTTTTAAAAAAATAACTTGTACACTTTTGACTCAAAGTCCCCAGGTGAGTCAAATTCGGCTAAGTTTTAAAAAAATAACTTGTACACTTTTGACTCAAAGTCCCCAGTGATTGAGATTCGGCTAAGTTTTAAAAAAATAACTTGTACACTTTTGACTCAAAGTCCCCAGTGATTGAGATTCGGCTAAGTTTTAAAAAAATAACTTGTACACTTTTGACTCAAAGTCCCCAGGTGAGTCAAATTCGGCTAAGTTTTTAAAAAATAACTTGTACACTTTTGACTCAAAGTCCCCAGTGATTGAGATTCGGCTAAGTTTTAAAAAAATAACTTGTACACTTTTGACTCAAAGTCCCCAGTGATTGAGATTCGGCTAAGTTTTAAAAAAATAACTTGTACACTTTTGACTCAAAGTCCCCAGGTGAGTCAAATTCGGCTAAGTTTTAAAAAAATAACTTGTACACTTTTGACTCAAAGTCCCCAGTGATTGAGATTCGGCTAAGTTTTAAAAAAATAACTTGTACACTTTTGACTCGCTTAAAAATAGTAATAACAAAATAAGGTTACATTTTGGATAGAGAAGCAGCATACAATTGACATATAACTAAAAAACTAGGTTGACATCTTCTATATATAGTAGAAATTACATTTTAAAAATTTCATTTAATAAAAATAATAATTTTGAATATTAATTTTATATTTTTAATATTCAAAATTATTTTACACAATTAGATTTGGCAATTATAATTTTCTAAATCAAAACTAAATTCAACTAAAAGAACTAAAAGAAACTAAACTTCAAACTAAAAGAAATACAGAGTATGAGTACAAGCATCAATTGGTCACAACCAATTGATCCCATGACCCGACACGCGACAATATATTAGGCCTACACTAGTCTAGCTTACATGTTAAAACAAGAAGATTCAGGTGATGAGCAAAGTGGTCCAGGCGGGTGAGGTGGTCCAGGCGGGTGAGGTAGTCCAGGCGGGTGAGGTGGTCCAGGCGGGTGAGATGGTCCAGGCGGGTGAGATGGTCCAGGCGGGTGAGGTGGTCCAGGCGGGCGAGGTGGTCCAGGCGGGCGAGGTGGTCCAGGCGGGCGAGGTAGTCCAGGCGGGCGAGGTAGTCCAGGCGGGCGAGGTAGTCCAGGCGAGCGAGGTAGTCCAGGCGGGCGAGGTAGTCCAGGCGGGCGAGGTAGTCCAGGCGGGCGAGGTAGTCCAGGCGGGCGAGGTAGTCCAGGCGGGTGAGGTGGTCCAGGCGGGCGAGGTGGTCCAGGCGGGCGAGGTAGTCCAGGCGGGCGAGGTAGTCCAGGCGGGCGAGGTAGTCCAGGCGGGCGAGGTAGTCCAGGCGGGCGAGGTAGTCCAGGCGGGTGAGGTAGTCCAGGCGGGTGAGGTGGTCCAGGCGGGTGAGGTAGTCCAGGCGGGCGAGGTAGTCCAGGCGGGCGAGGTAGTCCAGGCGGGCGAGGTAGTCCAGGCGGGTGAGGTGGTCCAGGCGGGCGAGGTAGTCCAGGTGGGCGAGGTGGTCCAAGTGAGTGAGGATACGATAGAATCTCCCCCTTTTATACCCAAAAATTGTCAAAAAAACCTGCCCCAGACAGACTGGCGCCAGACAGGCAGAGAAAATTAACAATTAGTTTTGATTGGGGTCATTGGGTTACACTCAGTCATTCATTAGAGTCAGGAGCGGGAGCATGGGGCAGGAGCCCGACCATTGCATGGAGCACGCCATGGGTCAAGAGCATGCCAAGAGCATGCCCGCGAGCGAGAGCACGCCATGGGTCGAGAGCATGCCTAGAGCACACCCGCGACCAGGAGCGCGCCCGAGTTCGCGTGCCGAGAGCCGGGTGGCCAAAAAAATGAGCCATATTCCAGACGTGTTTTTCAGTATTAAAAAAGTAGAAAATTTATATAGGGGTGTATAGGTCGAGAGCTGGGTCTTTAAAAAAAGTGGCCAAAAAAAGCTCTTCCATTTTTTTCTCATTTTTTCCCTATAAAAAGTGCCCTAAAAGTGCCTCTAAAACGCCGAAAGTGAGGTCATATTGTCCTATTATATCTACTAGGACATCCACAGAGCCCCCTACTGGGCTAGCAGCTGAAGAAACCATGGAGAAAGACATAGCTAAGTTGCCTGTCAGACCGAAGGGAGTGTTCTCAGCCAAGAAGCGAAAACCTTTCCCCCTAAGGACCCGTAACGAACCAGAAAACAAAACAGAAGAAACCCAAGCAGAAACCGTAAACGATTTAGATCATGATCAGTACATCACGAAGAAATCTGATAACATTGCCACAACGACTTTAATGACGAGTTCAGAAGAGGTTGATTGGAATACAGCAAGCTCGGAAAAGCCGAAGATTGTAGATTCCGCTGACCACGGGGATATTACTAAGAAGATTGCCGACTTGACTTCTTCACCTAGCAATGCTTTTGACTCGTCCGGGTTTTTCAAATCTGGAGTTTCCCCCTCTAGTAGGAGAACAGTCGGTCACATCACACTAGCAACAGACGATCCGATTCTCCCTATAGAGGCGTTCTTTAGCTCTTCGTTTAATAAAAATGACGATTCCAGGTAGTGGGGAATAGACAACACGTATTAAAAACTGTACCTGTAAAATCATTTTGAATATGTAAGTATATGAGTTTCGTGATAACAATTCAACCACAGTATTCTATTAATAAATTGTATATAAAGCTTTTAATTAATTGTTAAAATCTTATTGTTTGAAATTAATACTTTTTACTAAATCAGTAAATGGTACTGGTAGAGTAAATTGTATTTTTTAAGAAATTTTCATAGCCAAAATGAAAACTCAAACCCCTTTCACTTAGTTTAAAAAAGAAGAGTTATATTTATTCGTATTTCAACTGTGTACATTAAAATTAATTTTATTTATTTAAATTTCATATTTATTTTTTAACAAAAGTTCAACCTCAAACTGAAATAGATTGGATGTAAATAAAGAACTGAAAAGGGATGTAGTTTTGGGTTAAGCACAATGTGGAATTAAAAAAAAATTTGTATATACATTTTACAATTTTTAATTTAAGGCAATTAAACTGTATATTTATTCTGTAATTATTGTTAGACTCTTGTAAATAAATGTATTTATTGATTACCACTATTTTATTACCTATTCCAAACTATTTAAATACTGAAAAATCTCGCTTGTTTTCCTAATAATCTCAAATATTTGGTACTATCACAAGCTATGCAATAGAATCTCTGAAGTGCAAAATAAATACCGTTATTTAAATTCCAATCTCAAAGCAATAGAACTTTATTGGATAACTCAGATGAAGCAAATAGTAGTTTAGAACTACAAAACCAGTCTATTGCATTGTTGGAAATAATAAACCACTTCAAACCACTCGACTTTATTGGTACCCTTTCTCATCTGATATATCATTGAACAACGCTTTGAATGTTTGTCAAATTGACAATGTGTTGATTTACCTATGGTTTTTCTCGAACGTATTTTTACCTTTTAATTAATTAAGTTGGTTCACAACACATCAAAAAACTGAAAAGATTTATACATTGGCCCATTTTTGTGCATATTTAAAATCATCTGCGTTTTGATTTATTTATAGAGTTCGTTTTCAAATATTTAGTAATGCTCACCAACTAATTTTTTTACGGTTTAAATCCTTCAGTCAAATATTTAACCGCAGTCAGATTGTAAACAAGTGACAAAAGAGATTATAAAAATGGATTCTAGACAACTTTTATAGTCCAACCTGGCAGAGGTACGTGAAACTTTGTATGGTGTGGATGTAAAAGTAATGTACTTAATTTATTGTAAAGTAGTAGTAAATAGTATTCCACTAAAAACTGTCCGAAACATATTCTATAAAAAGTAAAGGTTATAGCATTATTTTTTTATTTTTTTTTTACCCTATTAAAATGCACAATGGGTGCCCTCGTAATAATAATTAATTTTGCATTAGTATCTTTCTATGCCATTTACGCTTTTGAATTCTTTTGCAATGGACAACCCAAACCCAGTTTTTCTCACAATCTATATCAATGTTGTTAAATAGCATCATTAATAATTGATTATTCACTGAAAGGTTGTGTAACATTTTGAAAATAATTTACAGTAGTAAATGTGTTATGTTAATGTAAAAGTGTGTATTAAATTATAGTTATCTCTGTGGCAACTTTTAAGTTTAAAGTAAATACGGAAAAGGCACTTATTGGAAATGAAACTTAGATGTATCGAAACTATTGGTAAACTCGATTGCAAAGTAAATAACGATTCGGAACTTTACAAACTGCTCTATTGTACCACTCAAAATGAAGAAATACATTGAAATACAATCAAAGTACTGAAGCTATGGTTAACTTGTGTATAATTATTATTTGTCTTAAACGAAAATAAACTATAACATATTTAGTTTTAGTTTGTACTTTAGTTTACTTAGCAGGAGAAGTTTTTTTTTTAGATTTTCGTAATGTTTACGGTCTTGGTTGTTATAATGTGTATATAAAATCCACCGCCAAACGTCTGTGAATACCCAAAGAATATGTTCAATTATGACAAATCTCTTTCTTTTCACATGTTATAATAAATAAACAATAATAATAAACAATATCTGAAATACCTCCTCTTCATCGTTGACCAGCCTAGGCCGGATAGATAGCGTCAAAAAAAGAGATATCTATCATTAAAATTTCATACGGTAAATGTGTCTTTTGGATAGGTAAGTCTAAATATTTGCTTATCATTTATTAGTTCTATATTGCTTTAACTTAATACCTACAATAAAATATACCACAGATATAGTTGGTAAATTGTAAACTGTCTTCAATTTGGAGAGAGCCAAATTTATTTATTTATTTATTTATTTATTTATTAAAGGACAAACCATTACATACAGAATACAGTTTTTGTGATACAACTATTGAGTTGATGAGTGATGACTAATAACAAAAGTGCAAACAGTAATAACAATAACAATAAATAATAACAATAATAAAATGAATAACAATGAAGTAACAATAAGGACGAAGATAACAATAAAGAGCAACGAAGACAACAAAACATAAAAAGGATTTAACAAATTTAATTAAAGGGCAACCACACGATTTTAAATTGATTTAAAAGTAACATCTTAAGCATTCTATCCACTTTTACATACTGAAATAGAAATCGCAGAAGATAGTAGAATGAGCTATGTAGTGTAGGCTTCTGTTAAAATTCGAATTTGCCCTAAAGTTCGATGGTTTGTTTCCAATACCAGATGCCAGGCTCTGAAATAATGATTCTATCTAACAAAAATATCAACGTTAAACCGTAACAAGATCAAAGATAGGACCGTTCCCATTCAAAACGTAAAAAAATCACTGACGTAGAAAACGAAAAATTAAATAAAACGATACTAAGGCTTACCACAAGTAAATTAATCTCGGTTAAAAGTTCGCATATCCACCAAAACCCATTAATTGACGACACTCGATCAGTATAGCAATTAAAGTCAATTGTTATTCCACATCTGGCTACAGTTCTTTTTAGGTAAGGGGACGCCTGAATCCTTAAATAGTCAAAGGTACCAACATTACGCCATACACCCAGTTAAGGATCTGCAAACTACAAGATTCTACCTAGTGTTGGTTTCTCCATGATGCAATCAAACTGCTTCTACATAACCTAGGACAACGAATCACACTAGAAAGCTGTAGCGACGATCCACTTTCCTTCCTCGGATATGTCGTCCTCGTTTGCGTGTCTGAGCGTGTGTGTGTGTGTGAGTGTGTGTATGTGAAGAGTAAATGTACCTGTGTGTGTCAGGAAACCCAGTAGCCTATCAACAATTAGTTCTATTGACTGTCTTGCCTTGAACTGTTGCCTTCAATTCGACGAGTTCTAGCAATTGAAATTGCTGGGAATTAGTGTTAGGCATTTTTTCTGTGAATTATTGAAACTCCACCATACACGTTTATACATATCGCGTGTAATTGGAATTTTAGTCTTTTAGTAACACCTCAGTGCCAAAAGAGGTACAGTGTTCACTCAAATCAAAAGTTATAACATAGTTTATTAAATATTTTCTTAAATAATACGCGATAAAGTTTGATATATTATTTAAAATTTTATGTTTATTATCAAGTTCCACGCGTTTTCTACGTGTTTAAGGAATGCACACTAAACACATGCACAATGCACATTATCATTGTTATTGTTATTATTATTATTATTATTATGCCTTGTTTTTGTTATTCATGGTCATTCTGCATTGTTATTGTTATGTCAATAGTGTATAGCTGTTTTTGTTGATCGATTGTATTGATGTTATTGCTGAGGAAATGTAGTTTTGTTATAATTTAATGTTTTGTATTTATATAATCTTATTATAATCTTAACTGATTGTATTTTGTAAATGGCATTGCCGTGGAAAATAAAAATGAAATGAAATGAATGAATGCATGAATATAATTTACAAACCAAACTACACTTTGATTTGCTCATTTAAGTCTTTCCACGATTAAATATATAAAACACTCCAATGAATATGTACATTTTCATGATTTGTGGTTTAAACTTTGTGCAGGGATTTTTTGTGGTTTAAACCCGTTTCGTACCAAATATAAAAGGGTCATTTATATGAGCTGTATACGGTATATTATGAATATGACCTTTTAAATATTTTTACGAAAAATTTCATCTATAAATTAACATATACTTGTGTTATTGATTTTACGGAGAGTAAATTAAAATAATCCAATAACACTAGAAACATACATTTACACTTATACTGTTTTAATAAGACTGTAAATATATATAAACGACGGTAATGGTGATCGATTTCGATTGGACGCTCCAATAATGATCAGAGCCAAATAGGCGACAAGAATCTTGAATGGCGTCCCTATTATTCCAATTGGCTAACGGAATAGTATGAACGCCATTCATAGTCGCCTATTGGCTCTGATCATTATTGAGTGTCCGATCGAAATCGATCACCATTACCGTCGTTTATATATATTTACCGTCTTCTTAAACAGTATAATTATAAATATATGTTTCTAGTGTTATTAGTTTATTTACTCTCCGTTTAAGTTAACACTAGCGAAGTGGGATTTAGCTATAGAGATATTTTACTACAGTCAACCTATGTTCAAGAATATCTTAGATATCCGGACAGTATCTTAATATATATCCAACTACCGCTGACTGAAGTTCTTCTATTACCTAGTCTAGTCCTCGCTCCAGACTTTACGCACGACCCATGTTAAGTAACACAATATGAGATGTATACCAAGGACAATATTGTGTATCAGAACACGTTCTCCTCTAAAAGTCTCGGTCGAATCTCTTGTCTGAATTCTAGTTCATGTTCATGTACACATAAAATTTTTTGTATAAAGATTATTTATTTAAATCAGTTATACTGATGGGTTTTGCCCTATGCAAAGTGTATGGAAAAAGTATTAAGTCAACATTTTCCAGTTTGAGATTTTAAATGAAACACCTTTTTCACCCCCCCCCCCCCCCCTCCTACTGTGAATCAGAAGTTTTTTCGAAATGATTTTTGTACATTATGTATGCCTGTATGTTTATGTGTTAATGTGTAACTGCATACTACACTGGTGGATGGATTTTGATGAAATTTTTGGTATGTGGATGCTAATCCATGGTATTCTGCCATTTTTTATTTAATTTTAAAAGTTATCTTCCCAAGAAAA